TCCAAGACCACAGGGTTCCAAGACCAAGACCTCTGAGAGTAGAGACCGAGACAAGACTGAGACTTTTAAAGGTCGAGAACAAGACCAGTCCGAGACCACAGGGTCCCGAGACAAGGACAAGACCAAGACTTCTGAGAGTCGAGACCGAGACAAGACCAAGACTTTTAAAGGATTGAGACCAAGACCAGTCAGAGACCACAGGGTCCCGAGACAAGGACAAGACCAAGACCGAGATCACAACCCATCAAGACCAAATCAAGACCATTTTTGTTATTTTCTATCTTTATTTGTATTTTACAGTTATTTTGGCACATATATATCAATGTTTTTTATGAATCTATCTCCATTTGATCTGGTTAATGTTCATTTAGTCTTAAAATAGGCCAAGCAAACTGGACTGCACTTAAACATCCCCTTTTTGGACCCTAACCCACATTTTGAGAACCTCTTCTTTAATCCCACTTCCACTGGCACTTTACAGAAAATAACTTCAAAGTTAATCAAGTGAGTTTTCCAAGTTCATAACATTTAAAGTTTATCTTACAGGTTTTGCAGTGATATTTAGCAGCCTCTGCACATTTACTGACCATAATGAAACATGATCACACTCTTGTCGAGACTGCTCTTTTCTGATCTATATTATAATGTTGTTTCCTCATCACAAACAGACCTGGAGTTGTGTTTTGTTTCATTCACACAGGGGCGGCAGTAGCTCAGTTGGTAGAGCATTTGCCCACTGATCTGAAGGTTGGTGGTTCAAATCCAGCTCTCAACATAAACATCACAGGTTGAGCTGGTGTGATTCCAGCTCCCACAGATGAATGCTGTTGTTGTGTCCTTGGGCAAGACACTTCACCCACCTTGCCCGCAGTGTCTGCGTACACTGGTGTGTGAATGTGTGAGTGGTTGTAAAGTGCTTTGAGTGCCTTGAAGGTGGAAAAGTGCTGTAGAAAAATGTGACCATTTAACACACAAGCTCACATTTTAAGTTCAGGCCTACACGTACACAGGTATTTTTAAAAACAGACATTTCCCTTCATTTGTACCCATCTTTTACATGCAAACAGCGAATTCGCCTCTGAAAATGAATCTTTCTAAAAACTCCAGCTAGAGTGAAGATGCTGGAAAACTAGGGTTTGGCATTTGCATGTAAAGTGAGATAAACAGAGTTTTAGGAGCTGATGCGCCAAAGTGCGACCAATGTTTCCCTTTCGCTCTGATGATGATCATGGAGCATCAGAGCCGCAGTTGCATTTCTTCTGGTGAAAACACTTTTCCTGTGTTTACATTTGCACACAGCTGATGAATCATATCCATGACCAGAGACGAATGAGCTCGGAGGTCAACAATTTTGTCACTTCTTAACCATATCTGTGGAGAGGCGAGCCTGCTGACTAATGCACGTTTTTCAATGTATTTTTTAGTCAAACTTACAACTGTAATGAAATAAATGCTACAGGTTTGAATTTAATCCAGGTGCCGCCCAGAAGCTTGGTGTAGTTATGACGGCGCTCGATGGCGTATTTATGCGGGTTGATGTAAACGAAAACGTTTTTGAAAATGATGCTATGTGCATGATGTTATTTTGGAAAATGGAGGGAGGAAAATAACTGTTTCTCAACATACCCGTCTATGTGTAAATGTAGCCTCAAAATGAAAACACTCCACACCTCCACCTTGTGAGGTCATGTGGTAATACAGGAAGTGCTCCACACACCTTCATCATTTGGGTAATTTCAGCCCTGTCAGTCTCTACTGAACAAAAGGTAAAAAGGTAGCTGCTAACGTGAAAACTACAACTTCATGACATCACAAAATGGAACCGAGAATTTGAGCTCCAGATATTTAGACAGACTAATACACTAGGATTACTCAAACATGTATGAATGACACAAAACACAACTCTAAGTATGTTTTTGAGGAGGTAGCAAGATTATAACATGGCCTAAATCTCATAAGAGTACATTTTGTGTAATAGAGGACTTTTAACAGTTTAGTACAACTTTTACATGAGCAATATTCACTTGAAGTAAAAGTTGTACTCTAACTCCATTAAAAAAATTAAAATAACTCTAGTTCTTATGTTGCTTGGAGTGAGTGGACACTTGTTTGGTCCACTCCTGTGTTTAGCATAAAAGCTGACGCATCCTTGTGCATTGTATACATTATTCATGAAGTCTTTCCCAACACATTTGTACTAATCTGTCATCATCCCAGGCCCTTTAACCTCGTGCCAACAAAGAGCTCTCCGCCTCCTACCTGCTGCTTCTGCTGCTTCTGCTGCTGCTGCTGCTGCTGAGGTGAACCAGGGTAGATTAAGTTAGGACCACACTGCCATCTGGTGGGCTGTACGAGCAAAAGACTGTACTGAGATTGAACTGAGCTGTGGAAAATTAGAGCAGAAAAGCATTTTATTTTGGCATTTTGGAGATTATAATGTGAAATAATTATAAATATGTGTATGTCCTATGTCCTGTCAATCATCATATCTTCTTTGAACTGTTTTCCTTAGGACTTCTTGTATAGAGCCAAGATATATTTTTGTGTTACTTAATTTCTATATTTTACTTTATTTTAACTTGTACATATACATTTATATAATTATGCGGTAACACTGTATAATAACTACACCTTATTTAGCCTTAATAAAGCATGAACAAAGGCTTAATTAATAATGAACAAAGACTAAATTAATAATGATTCACGCTTAGTAACTACTTAATTACTACCTTAATTCGCACTTGCACTTAATTTTCCTGTGCTGTAAATAGTTACTCATAATTATTTCATACTTAATTACTCATGAACTAACCATTTGAGCATTTATTAATCATTAGTAAGCTATGAGACAATGATTTACTTATAATGCAATGCAATGATCATTCAGGCAGCTGTTATCTGTTAGTTAAGTCTTTCTGAGAGCTTTTCTAAAGTGAAGACAAATTATGCTTTATTAAGCATTTACTAAGCGTGAATTATTATTAATTAAATCTTTGTTCATTATTAACTAAGTCTTTGTTCATGCTTTATTAAGGCTAAGTAAGTGTAGTTATTATAAAGTGTTACCAATTATGCTTTATTTGACACCAGTTACTTGCTATTCCTGCTACTTTTTTTATAATATTCACCGTATATCCACCTCTAAAACAGTTCAAATCAGAAATCTAGGGGTAATAATGAATTTTAACAGCCACATCATATCAATAGCATCTGCAGCCTTTTACCGACTAAAAAAACATCAAAAATCAAAGGTTTACTGTCTAAATCAGACTTGGAGAGACTTATCCATGTGTTTGTCTCCAGTAGGTTAGATACTGTAAAGCTCTGCTCACTGGTCTCTCCAAACGAGCTGTGAGACGCTGCAGTACATCCAGAACGCTGCAGCTCGGGTCCTGACTTGAGCCAGGAAGTACGAGCATATGCGTCCTGTGCTCAGGTCTCTGCACTGCCCCCTGTGGCTCAGAGAATAGACTTTAAAGTGGCTCTGCTTGTACAAGTCTCTCCATGGCCGAGCACCACAGTACATCTGTGACATGTTAGTGCCACATGAACCATCTCACACTCTGAGGAGCTCAGGGACCGACCTCCTGCTGGTGCCCAGAGTCACGACTAAACTTGGAGTTCAGGTTCATGCAGATAAAACCCGGAACAGTCTGAACATGTGAGACAGACTCTACTTTGAGGCTGTTTAAATCCAGGCTCAAAATGGTTCTGTTCAGCTGCGTATGACTGAAAGATTTTCATTCTGCACTTCTCTCTCATTTAACGTCTCTCTTTCTCTCTTTTATAATGATTATTTATGTTTTCATTTGTTTGTATTTTGATTTTATTGTGTTTCTTATTCTGTAAAGCACTTTGAATTACTTTGTGTAAGAATTGTGCTTTACAAATAAACTTACCTTGCCTTATTCCAGAAGTTGCCGTGGACGCCGCCATCATGATTCTGGTTATATTATTTTGTATGGAGCTGCCGATCTTTACAGCAAATAATTCAAAAACGGACGATAAAGCCTCCAGAAAATCCATGTAGTGTGACTTGTTGGTGCACATGAAAACTGAACATTTTACACTAACAAAACGACTCTGCGTCATATTTAAGATGCAAAACTTTTCCCAAACTCTCCACTGAAATGACTGAGATCCCGTTTAACTGGAAGTGTCGCCACAAAAAAGCGAAGTTTAGGAGCGTTTAGACCAGGGGTGGGCAAACTAGGGTCCGGGGGCCATATGCAGCCCTTTAATCCGTCCCGCCGAACTTGAACACTACTACTACTAATAATAATAATTTTCTGTGTTTTAAAAGTCATTTCAATAAATAGTAAATACCGTGTGACTTGAAGGACAGATATTTTGTTGTAATGCTTTGTAATGATTTTCAATTATGGATTACCAAAACTCTCCATCCACCTGCTCCTGGTCTGGCCCTTTCATCAAATTTTAGAACCCTTTGTGGCCCACGAGTCAAAAAGTTTGCCCACCCCTGGTTTAAACAAAAGTGGACCGGGCGGAATAAGGTGGATATTGTGATGTGTGAGCTACTGTGTCCAAATAATTTCCCTTGTGGATCAGTAAAGTTTGTCCAAGTCTAATTTAGGTTCCAGAAGTAAATTTTCCATACATTTTCCCCAGACAATTCAAATTTCAAGAGTTCAAATACACTGCAAAGACTTATTCGACACCTGTCTATTGCTGTTTTTTGCTACTTCTTTAGAATTTATTATAACCATTTATATTTTTGCTCTTTGTTATTACATTCCATTATGATTGTTTTTTATATTAGATTATATTAGATTGCGATTTAAGAGCTTTTAGAGACAAAAGTGGACGGGAAGAATAAGGTGGATATCGTGATGTGTGAACTACTGTGTCCAAATAATTTCCCTTTTGGATCAATAAAGTTTGTCCAAGTCTAAGTGTATCCATCTACGTGGTCACTAATATCCAGAACGCTTTTTAGTTGTAAGTTAAAAAAAAAAAAAAAATAAATTTCAAACACAAGATCTGGCAAAATGCTTTAATTGAATTTACTTAACTGTTTATAAAGTTTCAAACACATCTTAAAGGGGCATTGTTGAACTTTTCAGGTGGATGGTGGACTATTCAGATGTCATTGCTTTGACTGGAATGTTCCACAGTACGGCATTAAACTTATTTACCACCATGTAAAGTTACAGGGCAGATCTATGGAGCGGCGAGTCTGCTCACAGTAAGAATGCATGTTTTTCCGTGTATTTTTAGGAAAGTTTAATGCCGTACTGTGAAACATCGAGACATTTTGAAGCGGTAACAGGATTTTAACATGACTTAAAGCTCACAAGAGTCAATTCTTTGTAATACAGAACCTTTAAAAAATTACTGCTACCTTCTTTTTGCCTATCACAAAGAAACAAGGGGCTTTAGAAATGTGTTCATAAAAACAATAATGAAAACCTGATGTACTTTTCACATGGGAGTTCAAAGTTTATTTTTTAAAAACTAGGAAAAAGCAAGAAACATCAAGTCAGTGGCATGGAAATAAATACAAAACTGGCAAAATTAGTACTGTTTTATCTTTGAAAAATATATTCCCTTTTTTAAATTTTATTATTATTATTATTTTTTTACTTTTTTCTTGCTCCCGATAAAGAAATATAAACTTAAAACTTCTAAACAAGAATACACAAAACACAAGGCCTCATGAGATACCGATTTGAACACAAAATAAAAGCTCTCTTGGTCGGACTTGATTGTTAGAATGCGGTTTTGGCTCCGTTCTCGATAATCTTGCGTTTCTTCTCGTCTGCGCTGGATTTGAAAACGTTGACTCTGTAGAACTGAAGCTCCTTGATGCTCTCCCGAATGTCACCCAGGGCTCTAAAGTACACAAGAACACAGCCAAATATTCATGAGTCTTAAAGGTGCAATGTGTAACTTTTTGGTTGGGAGTCCAGTCAGTCCCCTGCTGGTTTCTACATGTCATTGGTCTGCCTGAAATGTTCCCCAGTATGACATCAAACATCTCTAACTTACATTTATTACATTACAGATGGCTTTACAGCTCAAAAATACCTAGAAAAACAGGCATTCTGACTGTGAGCAGCTTGCCTCTCCACAGATCTGACCTGTAACTTCCACTTTGTTCACAGTAATCTTCAATATTTTGCTTCAATAACTTTTCTAACCTTTTTGTACATAATGTAAACTTTGTCTTTGCTGGCATTTCACAAACTGCTTGGCGACTACAGCTGTATACTAGTGTAATTACAGAAATTATTATTAATGCGCATTGTCCTTATTTAAATTAACAAATAATTTAAATAAATGTATAAAATAAATTTAAATAAAAAACAATGCCCAGCTCTAAGCTCTTCTAACCTGGCTTAGCAGGTAAGGCTGAACAATCTGTCATTCTGGATCAAAAATCGTGATCTCTGACAACACGATTTTGGGAGCGTCAAAGCAGCATTTTTTTAAGGGTGAAGTTTAGTTCTGCGTCGACTCAACTCACAGTGCCACCGTCGCCTTGTCGCCTTCATTACAGAAAAAACACATATAATCCACTGAGTCGTGTCCTTTAGTCCGACAGAAGCTGAACCGCATCAGTGCACAAGGAGTGAGCGTGTTTTTTTCAGTGCTTATATTTTATGCAAATGAGCCATGTGGTTTTAAGTTTCATTTCTGTAAAACGTAAACAAATGTGCACAAAGCTGCATTAAACACATTATTAGTCAATGTATATTTGAGTCGTCCTCGTAGGAAATAAAAAAACAAACTTAAATGATCCACCCACATTCGCATTCATAATACACATTCACCAAGACAGGGAGGCAACGCCGGGCGAATTACGCCAATGGATCGTGGGTGTCTGGGTTAAGGGTTCAGTCTTAATTGTCGTCTGTTTCGCTTAATGCGCCTTATAATCTGGCGCGCCTTATGTATGAATATAGACGAGAGAATTCAACATTTTTGATATTGTGCTTTATAATCTGGTGCCCCTTATAGACCGAAAAATACGGTATCTGTCAGTCTGTCAACAGGAAAAGCACAAAAACAGATCCAATTACTTTACACTGTCTTCGAGAAATAACTATGATCAGATTTATTAGAATTTTTTAATGAATTGGCTGAAAAAGGATTTTGATTATCAGCCATAAGCATCGACTAGGAAAAAAACCCACATCAGTCGATCTCTAATCACACTTCACGCTTCGCTGTGATTGGTCAAATTCACCTGTCACTCACTCAGAGCATGACAGAGGCTGACCACTAGGGGGGGTGGGTGAGGAAAAGTGTCTGATATTAGATCCCCACATCACACTGTACTCATAGATAAAAAGATCTGTCATACCTGTGTGATGCTTTCTTCTGTGGCGCCTCCTTGTACTCATCTGGAAACCACCTCCTGGATTCAACACAACAACAACACGGCCACATTAATCCCACCGTTTGGTTTCAGTGACTGCGGAGGCTCTAATCAACAGCATATTAAAGCGGGCCCCTTCGCTGATGAACGCAGAGGAGATCGTTAGCCGGGACTGAGTAAATAAGGCAGTAATGATGAGACGAGAAAGGAAAATACCCATTAGGCGAGCTAAATAGACTAGAAAAAATCTCATTACACGAGGTTGTGATCGCTCCAGTTTACAGAGGTGCGCTCTGTCACTGGGAAAGGTCAACCAAATATGAGCAAATGTAAAATCATCAGCCGCCACTGTAACAAGGACAGCCAGTGCAAATGGGCTGATGTCTATTAGCAAGGGCAAGCTGAATTTGGTTTAACTGGTAATTGATACTTTGTAGTGACATCAGGCTGGGGGGGTTCTACGTGTATGTATATTGTTGAATGTTCATCAGTTACCGTAGTGAGACAATGCAAACACTGCCCAAAAATTTTAAACAGCCCGATACTCACAAAAACATATAAAGTGTCTGTCAATTAGTGATATTTTTTAACTTAAACTAGATTTTCCCATTATGTATGTATTGGTGCATCCGATTATCCATCCGACTCTGAGGTCCAACGATGTTGCCTAAAGACAAGCACGGACACGCCACTTTTCCTCGGACAGAGCAACTCAGATCTTTGAAGAACTCAGAGAAGCCTGAGCAAGATTTCTGAGATAGAATCCAAGATGACTGTGCCCGGTGTCACTTTTAAGTATGAAGTGTTTGGACTTTTCCTTTTTTTATTATTATTATTATTATTTAATTTAGAAGATTGAAAGTGAGAACATAATGTTCATATAGAAATTTGACAATAAACATTTTGAATTGAATTGAATTTCTCTGTGTTTGGAAGCTTTGGTGGGTTAAATGATCATTTCAGTCACTCGTATCACTGCAAGACGTTACTGTGTCTGTATCGCTGCCTGTGTGGGTTTAGTTGTCTGTGTTGTGGAGAGTCCCTAGGGTTGCTAACAGAAGATAAACAACAATGTGTTTGGTATAGGGATGGGCATTCGATGAAATTTTCTTAATCGATCGTCGGAAGAATTAACGATCGATTATCGATTAATCATTAACATGTTTATATTAAAATGATCATCATTATTATTACTATCTGCACTACTAATCTGCATAAATAAATTCAACTTTACGACATATAAACCGTAACAACTCTAGAGCCACATCAGCCCGTTTGACATTATAATATGTTTAATTCAGTTTTGCTCAACTCTCACAGAAACGAAACTTAAAACCACATCGCTAATTTGCATAAACTCAGCGAAGATAAAACTACAGCTCTTGTGTCGCTGATGCGGTCAACTTCTGTCGGATTAAAAGACATGACTCAGTGGAATACAGGTTATTGTGACCAGATTTGCGTTTGTTAAAACCAGGACACCGTACGGGGGGAGGGAGGTGGGGACTCATCATCGACATTGCGCGACTCTCACCTGGTAAAGCTTTTTCCCACTGGACACTGAAACATATGTGCTGCTTTGTACACTGTGCACAAGGACTCCCACTTGTCCCGAACGCAACAGAAAGCATGGAATTTCTTGTACAAGTCATCGTTAAATACACATTTGTGCTTCGGTACGCTGCAGACTGACCGAATGTTTGTGTCTCGCTCCTTCTGAGTGCAGAGAGCTACATGTAAGGACCCCTGTTTGGTCACACTACGCACAGCAACCTATATTCGGTTTGTCGATTAAAATTAACGTAATCGATGAAATTCTTAATGATCAATTATCGATTAATCATGCCCATCCCTAGTTTGGTATCCACGATTTTTTTAAAGTTGAGCACGTGAAACTGAAATGGGGCGGATAGCGGGTTAGCTATGCCCACTCATATATACGGTCTATGCGCGAAATATAATAAAACGCCTGAATGTCATATGCAAGATCCGAGTGGGAGACAGATGGATAATCAAACGCACCGTATGTATATGTTGGAATATTCATCAGTTACCATGGTGACACAATGCACATAATAGCAAACACTGTCCAAAGTGTTTTACAATAGTCTGAAACTCAAGAAAAAGAAAAAAAAAAAAACTAAATGGATTTCAACATTTTCAGGATCTTATGAGTGTTGATGTCTGTTGATGGGTTTGTTGAATGAGTGTTGATAGTCCCTCCATCTCAAAGTCCTAACAAGACCATCTGAAAAACTGCTAGCTGGTGACTAATGTTATTTGAGAGGGAATTTTTAACAGCACAAATCAGATCGCCCGTTGTTGTCCCAAATTCTTTATGGTCAGATTGTGTTAAAACAAAGCTCAGATTAAAGTTTAACTTAAGTAACAGAGCTTCCGTCAAACCCCAAGTGAGTGTTGCAAAGTCTAAATTAAAATCGAAGAGCGAGCCTGACTGTAACAGCTTTATAACACGGCTTAAAGCTCACAAGAGTCCGCTGTGTGTAATGTGGGACCTTGACACTGTGCTGGTGGGACTTGCCTGCAGAGCTCCTTGATGGTGCTGACGTCGATGATCCTGTAGTGGAGGTGATACATGAACTGGGGCATGTACTTGTCCAGGAAGCGCTTGTCTGCATGGACAGAGTTACCTGCAAACACACACACGGACACACAAAAATAAACACTAGGGGTGAGAAAAATTATTGAAAAATCGATATATCTTAGAGTTTAATGTGATGAAACAGTATCGATACCGTGGGCTGCTGAATCGATATATGGCCAGGAGTATTTTTTGGTATATTTTACTGTATTATTTTTTAACAGCGCTACAGTTTTGTTGCTTGTTCAGAGGAAGGAAACTCGTTTATGCAACACATTTCACATTTTTACTGTTTTGATGAGTAAAATGGGTGTGTTTTATATGAACTTAGCACAAGAAGTGGTTTAACAAAGATTTCAAGTATCACATCCATGGTTTAGCCTTTATTTTTTATTGAACTGTATTGAATCGATTTGAAATATATCTTTTCGTGGCCAATGTATAGTATCGGCAACTTCTGAACGATACCCAGCCCTAATAAACACACAGATACACTTTAAAATGAGCTGTATTGGTTGAACTATTTTACTAAAACACACTTAAAACTGTGTAAAGTGTGTGTTACTTTTAGATCAATATGGAACTCTCTAAATACATTTTTCAACTTTTCTTCATATATTGTGTCTTGATTTGTGTAAAACTGTCATTTATAGATACAGCAGATATTATCCCATCAAATTAAGTCAAAATTAGAGAATCATCAAAATATAAACAGAGATATGAGCAAGAAGAAAACATTACACAAACTGACCTGCTAGGGGGCACTGTCCGGGTGGCGTGTGCTGGCGGACGAAGGACAGGAATTCATACTCCGCTTGCTCCAGCGAGATCTTACTGCTCCGGACGGCGGCGGTCAGCCCTGACTGAGACACACAAGGCTCTGTTCAATGTTTTTCTCCTTGGAGATGTTATTGCTTTGTCTGGAATGTTTCACAGTGTGGCATTAAACCTTTTTATCTTCATGGAGACCAAACCGGAGCAAGTTACAGGTTACACTCACAGTCTCAGTGAATGTTTGTCTAGGTATTTTTGAGGTATAAATCCATCTGTAATTGAATAAATGTAAGGTAGAGGTGTTTAATGTCACACGGTGGAACATTCCAGGCAGAGCAATGACATCTCCATAGAAACAAGCAGGTTACGGACCCCAACAAAAAAGTTACATAGTGCACCTTTAATGAATCCAGACTAAATGATTCAAACAGCAGAATATTTTTTTTTGTTTTAGATAGAGATGTGCAAAAATATCAAAATATCGTATCGTTTAATGTGATGATACAGTATCAATATCATGAGCTTCTGTATTGATATATCACCAATATTTTTTGGTATATTTTGCTAAATTATTTTGTTACAGCTACAGTTTTGTCGCTTGTTTAGAGGATGGAAACTTGTTTATGCAACACATTTGACATTTTCACTGTTTTGATGATTAAAATGGGCGTTTTTCATTTTAACTTTGCACAAGAAGCGGTTTAATAACAACTTTTAGTATCACAGCCATGATTTTTTAGACATTATTTTTTATTTAAGCGTATCGAATTGGTTGAAATATATCATTTCGAATAGAAAATTTCACTGTATCGATTGTTTATGTATGTATTGTGTCGTGGCCTATGTATCGAGGTATGTATCGTATCGGCAACTTCCTATTGGATACCTAGTCCTAGATTTAGACTTGGATTGACTTTTTTCATTATTTGAAAAGGCACAGTTTTCTTGTTCCACTGGCAATAACATAAAGGGCCCATATTACACTAGTTTCTGATCTATGTTCTCATGTTTCCGCATCAAAAAACAGACCTGGAGTTGTGTTTTGTTTCATTCACACGTTTTTAACACACAAATCTTGCACATATAGGCTGAGTTCTTCTCTCAAACTTAAAACACTCTGCTACAACTTGTGATGTCATGTGGTAATACATATGATAGGATACGATACATATCTCAGTACAGTGAACTTACGATTCGATACGATTCAGTACAATATATTTCAAATCAATTCGATACAGTTCAAAAAAAATAAAGACTTAATCATGACTGTGATACTAAAAGTCTTTGGTTAAACCACTTCTTGTGCAAAGTTCATATGCAACACAAACATTTTAATCATCAAAACTGTGAAAATGTCAAATGTGTTGCATAAATGAGTTTCCTTCCTCTGAACAAGCAACAAAACTGTAGCTGTAACAAAATAATTTAGTTAAAATATACCAAAAAATACTCTTGGCGATATTGATACTGTATCATCACATTAAATGATACGATATATCGATATTTCAATATTTTTGCACACCCCTACTCCTCCATACACCTTCACTAGAACCATTTGGATAATTTCAGACCTGGAATTGCAGATCTCTACTGAACAAAAGGTAAACGGTAGCCGCTTCATGACATCACAAGTTGGAACAGAGCATTATGATCTTTGGAGATATAAACACACTAGTCATAAAGTTTTACTCAAACACGTGTGAATGAAATAAAACACAAGTCCGAGTACGTTTTTGATAAAGAAACATTATGACAGATTAGAAAAAAGCACAACATGGGCCCTTTTTTTTATTCCCTTGTGTTAAATGGATATTACATTACTGATATTGATTTTTGTTCCATATTGTGCAGCCTCCACAGTTAAAAACCTCAGGGTGACTGGGCCTGGGCTGCACAGATGGACCTCACGCTTGGCTGGCCGGGGCGCGCAGATGTGGTTCTAAAAACTCAACCCGCCAGCATCTGTCCTCCAAATATCATGCGCTTTTATTGTCCGGCCAGTGCGGGTGCCTTTTGGGTTTGCAAGCACAATTAGTTCAGAAGCAATTTGTCAACATAAGCAGGCTGCTCCTACTGCGAAAAACGGCAGTAAAAAGCAGATGATTAATTAGGCACAGTGTTCTCACAGTGGACGGCAGCATAGAGGGCGTTTGTGGATTTTTAAGTGATGACTCAATAATTTTATCACTTTATTATTATTAAGTGATAAAGGTGCACTACGTAACTTTTCAGGTGAAGGGGCTGAAAACGTCTCCCCAGTCTCTGTAACTGCTGCTGTGAGCCTCATATTGGTCTTAAAATGTTCATATTAACCCGCTCGACATGATCCTGGTGATTTTATTCTGCTATTTTATCTGTAAATAAATTCCTACTCCTAATATCCGCTCCAAATTTGCTCCTATAACTGCCAGTCTCGATGAGCTTCATTTGACTGGATGACGTTGCACTGTCTTTGTCCACTTCTTTATACAGTCTATGATCTGACTATTGCACCGGTAAAACAAACTCAGATACCATTTAATTTAATTTAAACTAAAGTGGTTACTTGTCAAACTGTCAAAATCCAAACTTAACCAAAGCCCATTGTAGAATATTATGGTTAACTTGAGAAAATTATAACTACAATAGAACTTTTTGAATATTGCTCTGTGTACCATTCATTCTTTTGAAATTCAATCAAGAAAAAAAAAAACATTAAAATGGGAAAACTGTTTATTATAAAATTTTTTTAGTGTTAAAAATCAAAACAAACACAAAACACAAATAACACCACTCAACGAATAATTGTGCCTATTTCAAATCTGATATTAAAATATCAAATTATTATTATTATTTTTTTTATCAATAATTAAAAATGTATATTAAATTATCTCCTTCTCACTGGTTTATTTGCCCCAGAAGTTCTACTGCTAGAAGGATTTATCTGAAAAATCGTTGCAATTTAACATGTCCCCTTCTTTTTTTTTTTTTTAAATAGCAATGCGTTTACTTTCACGTCTTAGAAAGTTGTTAAACTCCATGACAAGAAACAGGTAGCAGCGATAAAACTCTCCTTTGTTTAGTTGATACTGAATTCACAGGCAGCGCACTAAGCAGCAGAACGTTTGGGGCAAATAAACCAGAGAGAATAAAATATCAAAACTGAAATAGGCACCGAGTTTTTTGATTGGTGTTATTTGAAATAATCTTTAGCTTAAATATTGACTTAAATCTGTTTTTTTTTTTTTTAACACTAAAACGAAATAATGAAATAACAAACTGTTTTCCCATTTTATTGTTTTTCATTCTCAATTTAAATTAAAAAATAATGAATGGTACAAGAACGGATATTTAAGTCATTATTTACATTTTAAACTGTAAAGAAGAAAAAAAAGATAATATATGAAAAGGAATAGCTCTCTCTCTCTTTCTGTCTCTCTCTACTCAATCCTGTACTTTTCATTTTTGTAAATATTATTCTTTGTTTACTCATTATTGGAATATTAATTTTGAGCACCTTTACTCCATGTCATCTCTTCTGTCTTTGTTGTGCCATTGAGTCATAAAATCTAAACAGAAGCTCCAAAGTCCACATTGTAAAGAGATTTACCTTGCCATGGTGTTCTTTGCACCAGTCTGACATTCCGTCCAACAGCTCGTCCGGCTGCTTTATGATCAGGTTGGGCCCCTGAAAAGCAAAAGGAACATTTATTTTAAAATTATGCATAATGTAGAAATTATGCAAGTAGATTTGGGACTCTAGAAAGTAATGAAATCATACTCCCAGAGACAGATTTGATTACTGATTACATTTCCATAAGAGATATTAAGTAAAGTAAATTCACAAAAGTTGGACTCGTTTCAGTGACTAGACCCAAGAACTCAGTGTATTACAAAAGAAATCTGCATTTAAGCAATATGAATTTATCTCCCACCCTGCTGCAGTAAAGGACACGCAGTGCTTTTGTCTGTTATAATCTGTGATCGATCATTGTGGATCATGATCTTGTATTTTGGACATTTTAAATCACAATATTCATCTAAAATGACTGAATAAACAAAACAAGTCTGCTAACTTCTAGGTTGGAAATTTGCAGAGTCCAGTCAGATATCAGTGAGACACCAGTGGTAAAAACAAAAAACAAAAGTGTTGTTTTGTCCTTAGGCAAGACACTTCACCTACATTGCCTAGTAAGAAAGTGGAGTGTGCTTGAGTGTTGTGGCTACAGTAGTAGTTTACCAAGTGTGGAGTGAACGAACAATGAACTGTAAACCGTTCTGGGTGTCTAGAAAGTCACTACCGTATTTTTCTGACTATAAAGCACACTTAAAATCTTTAAATTTTCTCAAAAATCAACAGTGCGCCTTATGTATTAATTCTGGTTGTGTTTACTGACCTCGAACAAATTTTATGTGGTCACTCAAAAATCTGTCAAAATGTTTTAGTACAACTTTGGTAAACTACGAAGCTTCACCGCTTGACGGATTGTTGGAGCATTACGGCTACTATAGTCGAGAGTCTCATAGAGTAAAGGAGCAAGCTGTTGTTTTCAGTGCTTATAGTTTATGCAAATTAGCCATGTAGTTTTAAGTTTCGTTTCTGTAAAATGTAAACAAATGTGCGCAAAGCTGCATTAAACACATTTTTACTCAATGTATATCCGAGTCGTCCTTGTAGGAAATAAAACCACCCACATTCACATTCACAATAAACATTCACCAAGACCGGGAGGCAACGCCGGGCGAATTACGCCACGATCTGCCAATGGATCGTGGATGTCTGGGTTAAGGGATCAGAGTCAAGTGACGTCCGTTTGTCTTACTTAATGCGCCTTATAATCCAGTGCATCTTATGTATGAAAATAGACGAGAGAATTTAACATTACTGATATTCTGCTTTATAATCCGGTGCGCCTTATAGTCCGAAAAATAAGGTATATAAATGCAATGATTCATTCATTCATTCATTCATTCATTAATACATATTAGGAGCCGTTACATGCTTTTGTTATTGCTTTGTCTAGAATGTTTCACAGTATGACATTAAACCTTTCTATCTTCAATCAAACCAGGCCAAGTTACAGGTCAAATCTGTGGAGACGCAACCCCACTCACAGTCAAAATACCTGTTTTTCTAGGTATTTTTGAGCAATAAAACCACCTGTAATTTAATAAATGTAAGGTAGATCTATTTAATGTCATACTGTGGAACATTCAAGACAGAGGATTGACATATCCATAGAAATAAGTAAGGTGAAGGACTCCCAACCCTAACAAAGTATTTCTTTAGTGCAGTGCGGTTACCTCGGCAACAACGTTCAGGTCGGAGTCTGTGATGATACAGGCCATTTCAATTATTTGGTCCTTTTCAATGTCCAGGCCGGTCATCTGGAAAAACAAAACACAAAATATGAATGATCACATGTAAAAGGTACACTGTGTAACTTTTTGGTTGGGAAATCTGTCACCTGCTTGTTTCTACGGATTGTCATCGTCATTACTCTGCCTGGAATGTTCCGCAGTGTGACTTTACGTTGCGCTTATTCAATTACAAGTGTTTTTATAGCTCAAAAACTTGGTCTGGTTTGGTGTCCATGAAGATAGAAAGGTTCAATGCCATACTGTGAAACATTCCAGACAAAGCAATAACATCTCCATAGAGAAAATAATTTGATGGACCCTCCACAAGAAAAATTACACAATGCATCTTTAAAGTTTACACTGACAAATGGTTGCAAGAATAATCGCAATTTGAAATAGCAAAAGTACCATAATTTTATCCACAAACAACAAAATCTGTCTTATTTTGCTTAAAAACTGATAACACACACAAAAAAAATAAATAATTAATTAATTAAAATAAATAAATGAAGAAAAATATTAATTAATAATAATTATAATAATAAAAAACTATATTTTTGTGTTTTTTGTAAAAATACAACAATAATTATTACACCTCACTTTTTTATGTTTTATTACAACTTATATTTAAATCGTTAAAATTAATTTAGACTGGAAGGCCAAAAAGAAAAATAATAAAATTAAAAATAAAATATATGTAATTATTTTTAATGATTTTTATGACAAGTATTGCAACTGCGATTTGTTTTTTAATAATACGATTCTGTCCAAAGTTCTTATTTCAATGTGACTAATACAAGAATAATTTCAGAACATGTTTGTACAGATGTAAACTACAGCGTTAGCAATTTTTATGCAGAATAAGAAAAGGAGATTTTGTTGCTTGTGCAGAAAATTATGGTGCTTAAAAAAGTGCAGCCTTTTCTGATTAAACACAGTCAAATTGCATTAGATTTGTGATTCATCTTACAGCCCAAACTCTGGCAAACAGCTGGTAAAACAGAGAAATGTTCCAGGTTATCAGTTCAAAGATATGGCCGAATTCCTAGTTTAATCTCAACCAAAACTCACCCTGTAGCCTGTTCGCCAAACCGTGACATTTTCTAATTAAAGTTTTGGCGTTTAGACAACTGCTGCATTTGCCGAAATGACTCAGCAAACGCAGACCATGTGTCCGTTTGTTTTTAGCACAGCAAGACATATACACAAAACAAAATGGACTCAAGATAAACCAAATCACCATTATAAAGACGTAGTACAACAACATTTCCTGACCGTAAAACAGATTAAAAACAAATAAGCTATTAAAACATACAATATCTACAGGAATTATCTGTAACGTAAGAGAAAATACAGAAAACCGAGCTTGAAAATGACCATAAGGTGAAAAAATGCACCCACAAGTGAGTCAAAAAACAACAATTTTACACACTCTTTTCAAAGTTATATGTATACCAAACATCCCAAACCAGGTATTTAGAATTTTGAAAAGCTGGTCACCCTGGATTTGAACTCTTTCCAAATCCACTCAAAATCTGTCATGTCAAAATTAGGGTGACCAGACGTCTGTATTTACCCGGGACAGTCCCAGTTTTGAGCCCTGTGTCCCCTGTCCCAGCAGATTTATACAAAAAAAACAATGATTTGTCCCAGTTTTATACAAGAAATGTCCCAGATGTCCTTATTTTTGACCAATTTGATACCCAACAACAGTATAGAGGAGAATATTGTAATTTGTTTAGCTAAAAATACTGAAAACCGTGATTGAAAATGACCATAAGGTGAAAAAATGTTGCACGGACAGAAATGCTTCAGATTTTATACTGATTATTGTGACCAGATTTTCAAAATTCTAAACTGAGACACACCCACGTTAGGATAGTTGGTATAAATAAAACAGTGAAAAGAGCATGTAATATTATGCATTCTTGTGTGAGTCATAATCTGAGGGGGGGGTTCTGTCGCTGCATGTTTATGGTCATTTGCAAACATGGATTTCTGTATTTTGGCTAAACAAATGACAATTCATGCTCCTTTTTATTGTTGGCAAGGATCAGATAAATCAAGAAATGTGATTGTCCTGTTTAGGTCCTGGTTTAGAGTTGATATAATCTTGGTTTAATCTTAGTTTAGTCCTGGTTTAGATCAAATTGGTCCAAAAATATGTCGCAGTTTAAAATGTTGAAAAGCTGGTCAGCCTAAATTTCAACCCTTTCCAAATCCACTCATCAAACTCCTCAAACTACTGTCACGTCAAAACTAGGGCAACCAGATTATTATTATTATAGATATTTACCCGGGACAGTCCCAGTTTTGAGCCCTGTGTCCTGTGTCCCAACAAATTTATCCAAAACCAGTGATTTGTCCCAGTTTTATACAAGAAATGTCCCTGCAGCGTCCAGAAGTTTGACCAATTTGATCTAAACCAGAACTGAACTAAGTCTAAACCAGGATTACATCTGGACTAAACCAGGACTAAACCAGGACTAACACAATTTTTGACTACTCTGATCCCTGCCAACATTAAAGAGGATCATAGATTGTCATTTGTTTAGCCAAAATACAGAAAATCGCGCTTGCTAATGTCCATAAACGAAAAAATTAATAAATAAATAAATAGTGCTTCAGTGATAGAAGTCTCTCGGATTATGACTGACACGAAAATGCACAATGTTACACACTCCTTTTTACAATCTGGTGTGTCCCAGTTTTGTATTTTGAAAACGTGGACACCCAAAACACGAGGTGCTGCAAAAAGCCCACGTTTAGCTCTGTTTTAGCATTAGCACAACTTTTAGCCACGAGTTTCCCTTTAAAAAGCCCAGATCGCTAAATGCTACAGGCTAAAGGAGCAGCACTTGCCTCCAGGTCCACCCACACCATTCTCTGGGACATCGCCGCGGAGGACGACGAGCTCTTCTCCGTGGACATTTTTGAGAAGCTAAAGTTGCTCCAAAGAGGTAAAGTAGCGGCGGGCCTTGCTGATAGTGGCCAGGGAAGGGGCTCGGTGGTCCGCAGGGAGCTCCAGCAGCGGTGTCGGGGCGGGGATGGTCGTGCAGCGCGGGGGACGAGCTGCGGTCTCCGGTACAGAGACGTGAGTGTGGACCATGCCGGGGTCCGAGAGCAGCGCAGCGGCATCCCGGTCTGCTTCCGACCGGAACTGTCGTAAAACAAAACAAAACAAAACATATATTTGTCCACAAGATGGCGACAGTGTCATAGCGCTAACGTTTCATATAATTTTAATACATTTTATGTATTTATATATTAATTTTATGTTTTTTATTTATTTTTATTTATTTATTTTTTTTGGTTTGTTTGTTTGTTTGTTTGTTTAGGCCTATTATGTTTATGTATTTGGTCTTTTCAAAATTATAAAAAGTGTTGCCTATGCCTATTGATTTTTATTTTTTCTTTATTTTATTTTTTATTTTTAGCTTATTTGTTTGTGTAGGTCTATTTGTTTATGTATTTGGTATTTTTTTATTTTAAACAATTTATTTCAATTATTCAAAATACTCGATTACCTTTGTTATTTGTCCACAAGATGGCGGCATAGTAACTGCTTTAACGTTATCATTTCTAAAGTGTTGTATAGAGCCTATTGATTGTTTTTTTTTTTTTGTTTGTTTGGTTTTTTGCTTATTTGTTTGTTTGTGTAGGTCTAATCGTTTATGTATTTGGTCTTTTCTAAATTTAAACAATTTATTTCAATTATTCAAAATACTTGATTACATTTGTTATTTGTCCACAAGATGGCGGTGTAGTGACCGCTTTAACATTTCTAAAGTTTGTATAGAGTCTATTAATTTTGTCTGTTTGTTTGTGTATGCCTATTCGTTTATGTATTTGGTCTTTTCTTTTTATTTCAGTTATTCAAAATCTTGGCGGGGAAAACTCAATTACATTTGTCATTTGTCCACAAGATGGCAGTATTGTGACTGCTTATATATTGAAGTTAGCATAGTTAGTAGTAGAGCAGGGATGTGCAATTATTTTTTCCATGTGTGACACATGAGAAAAGAAAAATACTGTGGAGGACCGGACCAAAATGCTCAATTCTGCATAATATTAAATGTGTTAATTTATCTAAAAAAAAAAAAAAAAAAAGTAGTATAGCATTGTTTTGAAAAGCTGGTAAGACAATATTATGACTAACAAAAACATACAAGACATTAAAAAAAGAAACAAAAACAACAACAACAACAACAACAAATACCTCTAAAATAAAAGCAATGCAGCTTTATTCCGTGCATGAGGTAAAATAATAAAATATGCTTATTTTGTAATTCCAAATTATCTTAAAACAGTCGACCAAAGGACCATATGTGGCCCAGGAGGTGTACTGCCCAGGTCTGTTATTGAGCCTATTCATTTTTATTCATTTTATTTCTTAGTTAGTTTGTTTAAGCCTATTCATTTATGCATTTGCTCTTTTATAAATCTAACCTATTTATTTCAAGTATTCAAACTCTTGGTACTCAAAAATGATATACTAGTATACTGTACTGTGTCTGTGGTAGTATACTTCCATGGTAAGTACCCAATTACATTTGTCATTTGTCCACAAGATGGCAGCATTGTCATTGCTTTGTCATTATTGCAATTGCAACTGTTTTTTATAACTCACTTAAAAAACAACACAGATTGGCCAAAGTGCTACAGAACATAATTAAAAACAAAACTAAACAATAAAACAGCAATAAAACAACAATAAAACAATGTAAAAAAATAAATAAATAAATAGAATCTAATAAAAATAATCTAATAAAATGTCAACATCTCAAACTGTGTCAAAGGCCAAAGTGAACAAGTGCGTTTTAAATTAAGGTTTAAAAACAGGTACAGAAGAGGCCTGTCTAATGTGCAAAGGCTCGTTTCACAGTTTTGGTGCAGCCGCCGCAGTCCCCTCTGGGCTTCCAGCTGGTCTTTGGCACACACTTGCTTTGTCATTACTAGAAAACTTTGACACTTTTTAATAGTGCCATATTTACAGTTTAAATACATTTGCTGCAGAAGAAGAGGACGGTGAACTTGTCTCACTTGACCCAGATGGAGAAGAAGACAACAGCCCAGATAATCTTGACCGATGCTGCCTGGTGCCAAGCTTCATCGTGTTTCCCGTACACCCCATCGAAGCAAACCTGGATGAAGCCGTCTTTGGTTCCAGGTTCTGACTCTGACACCAGGCCTTAGTTTTGACTGAACAGATGCAGGTCTTTTGGAGAATCACCTCCTGAAAGGACACTCCAGGTCTGGCTAGTAGATTGATTCACAGTCTGTCCAGTAACACAGGAGCATGAACCTTTTCTGGTCCGTCACCTGCTTCTTTTTACGGGTATGCCATTGATCTGCCTCGAATGTTCCAAAGTATGACATTAAACAGTTATACATTACTTTTCTATTAATTATAGGTGGTTTTATAGCTTATAAATGTGTATAAAAACAGGCAGAGTGGGATCGCCTCTGCACAGATTTGACCTGTAACTTGGTCTAGTTTGGGTTTCATGAAGATAGAAAGACTCCAGACAAAGCAATAACGTTTCCATGGAGAAAAGCATTTGACGGATCCCCCACCATGCAGAAAAGTCGCACCTTTAAGTAATGATCCTCTTACTTGAGCAAAGTTTTTGGCTACTGTACCACCTCTGCCTGTAAACCATTTATCAAGGCTGACACGCTGACGGAAAGACAAAGAAACAAAGAGTGCCGTCAGCTCCGGTTTGGTCCTGCAGTCTGAATATGTGCATGTGTCAAAGAGCTGGGCCCAGATCAATGGTCCTTATAGACACTGTTCCCTATGGGCTACAGGCCTCTCCACTCAGCAGACCTGCCTCGTCAGCTTTTCTGCTCCTCACCATCCCTTTGTCCCAGGAGGAGACACACGCAGAGGTAAAACACGGCACTACGTTTTACATCGAGAGAAATCAAAAGGGTACACAAGAGACATTCTGCCATTCTTTGTTTCAAAAAGGGAGTTAATATGCAAAAAATACTTTACTTTTAATGTGTCATCTAAAATTTTAAATCATTTTTATCATTCCTTTTTCAGAAAGCTTGTAGACTTTTTCTTTTATTTGTTGGTTTATTGGGTTTTGTGAAAGATAAGAACAGTCTGAACCAGATAGTAAAAGTGTGTGGCAAAATCAGGGGTGTACAGATTTGGGATTTGTTCAGATTTAGCCTCAGTGTGGACAGTGGATGGTCCAAAAGACTAAGGCCATACTGAGCCAGCCTAACCGTGTACTGCGCTCACAGTTTGTCCAAATACGAGGCGATATGTCACCCCACAACAAAAGACCAACCGCTACACTAAGTCTTTTAATCCTTCTGTCATAAAGCTTTTAAATAGAAAGTAAATTTGCTATTATGTCCCCTGATAGACAAACTTTATTCATCCACAAGATTCTGCACCGGCGAAAAGCGAAAGTGAGGACCGGAGCGCGACGACCGTGGTTTTTCGAGGAGTCATGTGGTTCGAAGGGACGTAGTCAAGGTGGGGGGAAATTGTTGTCAACAAGGCGCCCACAAATATATATTTTTAAAAACATATATATTTACCTTTTGGGATTAATAAAGTTGTTGATTGATTTATTTATGAAGATTCCTACCATGATACAGCATTGCTACCTCATCAAAAGCATGTGTGAAGTGGTTTTATGTCACCCATATTAATTCAAAGCCTTATTATAGTGAGCAGCACAAGCCAGTTGTCACAGAACAGAGCTGCTCCTGCCTTCTCTGCATATTCTCACTTTTAACCCTTGTATTATGTTGATAAAAAATTACATTGATTATGTTGCGGGTCGTTTTGCAAAACAGTAAAAAAAACAGGTTAAACCAATAAAATCTTTATTTTAGATTATATGAACATTTAGAAAAGAGACAAACAATAACTTTTTTATTTTCAACAGAACTATTTAAGAACAATTTAAAGTGTTCCCTCTTCACCCTTTTTTTTTTTTTTTTTTTTGTCATTCGACTTGCTCCATTTTCAATGTTCAACAATGTTCACCCATTTATCCCATACATCTCTGATCGCAGCTAATTTGTCTCTTTCACATCGACCAGCTCTGGTGTCGCGATTGTCAAATCGGATCACACGAGACATCATGTGGAATGTCTCCAGAGACATTGCAGCTCGAAAGATTGTCCTTCCATTTTCTTCATTCCACAGACTTGTAGTTGCTTCTCCTTTTGACCTGTACACTCCAAAATGACCCACATCATCTTTGTATAAAACTCTCCACAGACATTGTACTACACATCAAAGAGTCCAGATTTCACACACGAGTTCATGACCCAAGATGAGAAAAAGTCACAAAATTGTAGGAAGAAAAAAATGGATAAACAGTACTTTGATCAAAACAAAAACTGAAATGGGTCAAATTGACCCGTAACATAATACAAAGGTTAAACAAATTCATTTTTGATTGGATGAATTACAATTTTAACGATACTAAACTTGACTAAAGGGTCGATGTTTTACACAGCAATAACAAGCCATGACTACGGGGTTTGGATTAATTAGGCTACTATCCAAATCTCTCGGTACGATTGCACAATATGCATCTCACGGTACGATTGCGATTATTGCGATATTTTGGAGAGCCTAATATAATTGTAGATAGGACACAGTTTTTGCTTTTAAAATACCTTTTAAAAGATTTTGGTATGAATTATTTCCGTCATAATCCCAAAAATTCAAGTAAAAAACATATTTCTTCATGTTGTATGCACTGAGATAAATCATGGGATATGGAGCTCCCAATGTTTATAAGCTGTTGCTACTATAAAATAATGCAAGAAACATGTAATTCGATATATTGTGACAGCCTTTCGATATTATTGTTGGACTTTTAACGATACGATATCATGATATTTCGGTTATTGTTACATCCCTAGTGCATTGTATAACTTTTTTCCATGGAGATATTTTAGCTTTGTCTGGAACATTTCACAGTATGGCATTAAACCTTTCTATCTTCATGAAGACCAAACCAGAGCAAGTTACAGATCAGATCTGTGGCAAGGCGAATTCACTCACAGTCAGAATGCCTGTTTTTCTAGCTATTACTGAGCAATAAAACCACCTGTAAATAAATAAATGTAACGTTGAGCTGTTTAATGTCATACTGTGGAACATTCCGGGCAGAGAAA